TGGGACGTGGACATTTTTGTAGATTACATTTTTACTTTGAAAGAATCATATAACGAAATGCAAAGAATATAGACAACCAATGGTGACATATTTTTGTAAAGTTATTTGCATCGAATCAAGATAATTAGTGACCGTCGTGAAACGAGTTACAGCGAATAATAAGATTACTAACAAAAATTTGGAAAACAAACAAAAACGACGTTGACATGTTGCACCAGAGTCATTATTTTAAAAAACATTTGCTGTTGCGAGCATATCATAATACTGATAGTCACGAGCACATGCAAGTCTAGCTAGAACGTTCAGCTGTTGTGAAGGAAAACAGTCTTGAGTAGGGATGCTCACCTGAGGCATTCGCAAACAATTATTTATGTGAACAGTATTTATGTGACGTTGTCTATCATGAAATTTAAGACATTGACGTGAACACAACTTTAACATCAAGATAGAAGATTACGGTAGGTTTTAGTTTGGTGGTAGACGGAAATCTTCGCAGAAGATCCTTAGCTTCTACTACGCGGGTTATGACGATATCACTTTTATAAACTGGGAGCGCCACGAAAAAAACATCTTACAAGATGGTCAAAAAAGATTCTTTGCTAAGCAGGTAACAGATAATCTTGTTCATTAAAGCAAAGACCTTTAACTATCAAAATAAAAGTTAAAGTTGATAGCATGCCAAATGAATAATAAAGTACAATGTTGTAAATTAGACATGCAAAAGTAAAAATAAATAATGTAATTGTATTATCAAAACATGGAAGCTGACTTTTAATAATAGAGCAGAGATATTGTGAAGAATAAATTTTCAACATTAACTTCTCCGTACTGGATGGGACGTAGGCCCACATAAGTAAGTTAAGAGTAAATAACATAAGCGTCAATAAATCACCAAGTTCAGAACTGTAAACAGATTTCAGATTGGTTTGCATAAAATCGGGAACATTATGATGATAATTTACAGAGGTTTTACAGTCTTTTGAAATCGGCTATGTCCAGTGTGGTTCAGATTCTATTAAAGATGATATTAAATATTTATATTTTAGATTATATTAAATATTGATAAATCGTTTAAGTTGCCCTTGTCGTGTTAGATACTCACTTTCAACAATATAACACCAAACAGTTCATTTTCTAAAAAATGATTATTAAACATCTATTTCCCTAGAGCAGTAGTTGCTGGCGGACCGTGGTATCGTTCGCGTGTGCCTTCAACAGTGAATCTTATATCTTATTTGGGTAACGTATAAACAAAACAGTGATATAGTCTCTCCTCCAAGTGTATTCTGTGTATAGCTGCAACTCGAGAGAATGGCAACCCGCGTCATGGATACATTGAACGACATGGAACATCGACATGGATACATTGAACAACAAGGAAAACGTAACCTCGAACGCCCAACAACAACATGGATCAAATCTGAAATCGTACGCTGGATAGTGATGGCATCCGGAGGGACCCCAACTGTTGTTTGAACTGAAAGTACGATTAATTTTTTAGACTGATTCGTTGAATCATGTTTGAATCGTTGAAATCGTTCACCAGTTGAGGCGGTATCTGCGCTGTGATTGGTGGAACGCAGCTATCTAGGCGGGTCTTTCAAAATCTCTAGAAAATGGATCTCGAAAGAAACGAACACAATATGCCCTTATGAATAATTTTAATCATCAATAATATCATATTTTATGTGAAACTGCCCAATTAATCCGAAGTTCCCTTTCAAATGAATAAATAATAAATGCACTGAAGAAATATAATTACTCTTGGAATATTTATGAAGTGAGTTAGTACTTTTACATAACTGCATTAATTTGTGGTTTATAAATTTTAAATGCACATTAAATAATAGAACCATAGTTTATAGTTCAAAAAATCAAATCCATACGTGAAGTACATCCGTATTTCCTGCGTTTAATCAGCAACCCTAAAATTATTGCTGAAGGATTTTATGAAACCTTCATGAAAAATTTCAGTACTTCTAATTACCACACGGAATTCATCTCATATAAAGAGAAAGCAGAAAGAGAATCAAATATTACACTTATTGAAGAGATCAACTATGATATTCACAAGAATTTTCCAATTTTCATGCACGAACTACAACAATTTTTAAGAAAGATCAACAACTCAGCTCCTGGCCCAGATAATATTCCTAACTGACCTATTTTTGTAATGTTACTCTGTTAGGATTTTAATGACTCATTATGTTAATGTAATGACGGATGAACTCATATTTGACTGTTATAAATCATTAGAGTCGCTAATAATCTTAGTCGTTAATGCGACTAAAAATAAATAAATAATAAAAACTAGATGTAAAGCGAAAAGCACAGCAATAAACTGTTAGTAATTGGCAAGCCGTGTGTACTGACACGCAGTGAAATGTTTTAATCACGAAAACATGGCAGACAGAACGGCGATTGGCTTCACTTTCTGGGACCGATGTCACTTCCATAAATAATAACCTCCATGGTTTGAAGACAGGCAGCGTACCAATGTGTGACATCACGCTTATGGATATTTTGCCACACGAGCGCGCACTTATGAATACATATGCTTTGAATGACGTTTTATAGTTTCTCGAAAACTCAAAGGTTTTCTGTAAATGAGCTCAAAATCCCGCATTTTCAGAAATACACAAACGCCATTTTCTCAAACAACGGCTCTTTTTTTCTTCAAACTTTTCGCACTGCTAATGGCACTGTTTAATAATATATAAAATTAATTTTGGTGTATTCTTTTGTTGTTGTTTTTTTTCAAAAAATTACCGGCAATTACATTACACATTATAATTTTTATAAAGTTGTAGAAAAAAGTTCATATTTCGTGAGCGAAGTTTTCGCACTTAATATGAAAATAACTATTCTGCACGATGAAGTGATGTTTTTTCGAAACCACTTAACTTTACGAAAGTATGGCAATACGTAGACATCCACATGTTTATACGATCGTTCAAAAACTTAATTTTATTATTGTTTTAAACAGATATATCAGAACAGAACATCAGAACCTCCAGGACCGAAATCACGAACCTCCAGGACCGTTTGCACCAGAGAGTATATATGTGTGAGGTTCATGGTGCAAACCATGAACCTCACACAGCCTCGTCCCTTCAACTTAAGAACACCGTAGGGAAAAAAAATTAATATAATTCTTTTCATAATTTCTTTGTTCTGAAATAAATCATTGTTATTTCTTATTTGTTACTTACTGTTTACAAATGAGATAGGTGTAATATATATAAAACTGAAATAATCATATGAATAATAAAACATTTATTGGATTGCTACGTTTTTTGACAAGGCAAATAATTTTTCAATTAAATTCAAATCACATAACGCATTTTTATGATATAGTTTTTATTTCTTACAAATTCCACAAATGATTTAAGGAATATACCACAGTTCATGAAGTTATTCTGAAGAGTCGCTTGAAATGTCACAAATAGCTCTCCACCTGCTTAACACTGAAATGGAACCTGGATTTCTTCCTTCATTTCAAAAACACTACAAATGCATTTATCTCATTTATTTTTACTTTTTGTTGTGTGAATGTGTGGGATTGTCACAGCTGACATAATTACGATGCTATTGGTTTATCTTTCTCTTGTAAATATAATTACCCAGTATAATATATATCTGTGTTTCCCTAGTCTGACAGTACATTATTTATACATCTAACAAGACAGACATTTTATTGATTGCACTAGGTTACAAGGATTTAATCGTTTGTTAATATTCTTTAATATTTTGCTGTTTTATTCTGTAGTACTTATTCACTGCTTAGAAACTCTTCAAAGCAGAATTTATTTGCTTTGATGCACCTGCACATTTTGAAACTTAAGAAATAAGCCAGAAAAAACTACTATAAAAATACACATTAAACATTTTCAAAAACTAAAAGAAATATCCTAATGCAAAAAAAAAAAAAAGCAAGAATTATAGCAAAAAGGGCAGTTTGTTAATAATTAGACTCAAAGATCTATAAATAAACTATTGATAGCATATGAAAATGATAGTCAAACTGGTCAAATTGATAAATGTTCGTTCTCATTTGTAGATATTGAACATAACAAATATGCACCATTACCATTATATATTTATTTCTGTGTGTGCAACAAATTCAGTAAATCTACTTCTTGTGAAATGTGGCATCTTGTAAATATTGGAAATAAAAGAAACACTCAATCTAATATAATATTCTACAGAAAAAATAATTACTTCTGCTTAGAATTTTAGTAATCCAGGTAAAACCTGAACAAATCAATTATCATGAGTTTACAACCAAATGAGTTTATGAATTATGATAAATGCCCTTACTCATGCAGGAACCAACTGGACACCTCCACGAACCACAGAGCATTGTAGTGCACATTGTTTGATTGTATGGTCATACAGTGTCAACTGTAAATTAATATTTTTGAGATGCTATTACATCTTATTATGTTGGACAAGTTTCATACATACATTGCATCTTCTAAGCAGCAAATATCAATAACAATCAGTAGTAATTTTCGTACCTTTAAAAGAACACTTTGATAATATGATCTGCACTGGTTTCCAAGCATAAACCTATTACTTGTTGGATTTTAAAACATACATCAGATCTGCAGGAGAAATAAGGACTGAAAATATTGCAGTTACACTATTTTCATAGTAATAGGTAATATCAATAAAAGCATCTCACTATATCATTTAAACACATTTCTCTGAGTATTCAGATCAGCATTTATATAAGATTGCCACAGGCAAGAAACATTAAATTGAGTACCTGGAGACAGAAAGGGCATGATTTTACTGCCAATTT